CTTTCTCTGCCGGTGGCTCTGACTGTAAGGGTGCGTGGAGAACTAGGGGGAGAGAGTCAGTACAGGGACTCCGGTGAGGATAGTGTTTGAAGGCACTGGAATGGCAGGAGCTTGGGGGAGTGTGAAAATCATATACGCTGCATCCTCACAGCCGACCCTGATCATGCCCCAAAGGACATTCCTCCCAGGGTCTTCTCCCCTTGAGTTCTTGAAGCACAGAATCACTGCCACCTGCTCCTCCTGGTGGGTAGAGTCCCTGGCAAAGTGATGGGAGGCTGAGGTTCCAAAGTGTCCCTGGGCATCATTCCAAGCAGAGGGCCCTCCAGGGTGCCTCCCATCCTGGCTTGTTTATATTTGGAAAATGTGGCTGCATCCATCTAACACCTCTGCAAAAGCAAACACCTATAAAGCAGAAAGCTGGCCCCGCCAAGGACCGTGGAGGTGAGATTCAATTCGCACAGGCTTCGGCGGAAGAATCACAATCTGCAGGAAGCAGACCAGAAATAAAAGTAGATTCCCACCTCCCACTCACCCAAGGCAAACTTGAAAGGGCTGAAGTGGCCACAGCTGGGCTGGCAGGCCTCTGCCCTGGCAGTGCCCTTGGCTCTGGCACCCACAGGGTTTGCTCTGAGTCTTGCCTCAGGGTTTGCTGGCCAGGAGGAGCCCCTTAACCACCATAAAACAACACACTCAAGTGTGTTTTTAGTTACGATAATGTGTGCTTTGAACCTCCCTCCTATACTGGGAAGGAAAGATACAATTAGTGTATGGAATGGAACCTTGGAGAATTCTAAGCTAAGCAATTTTTCTGTGCTTCAACTTCCACGTCTGAAGTAGGGAATGGAGGCCAGTAATTTCTCAGGTCCCACAGGGGTTGAGGCCAGGGGAAGAATGGTAACAGAAAACAAACAACATTATGCACATGCAGCTCCTCTCTTCAGTTCCACATCAAGATGTTTACTTCTCTACTCCCTGAATGAGTTTGGCCACGTCATGTACTCTAGGCAATGGAACACTAGCAAACAGTGCAGACGGCCTGGGTGTAAGCTCGCGCATTTGGTGCTTTTCCCTCTCTCGATGTACAGGGAAGTGTCATGTGGAGAAGCTGAAGTACCTCAGCCATGAAACCATCTTAGAACTCTATGTCCCTTACCCACTGTTAGGCAGTGGATGAGTGACCGACCCCAGAAGAGGCCGAAGCTGCTGCACCGCTGACTATCGCCACCAGAGAAGTATGGACATAGAACCAGGGACTCAAGATTCATGGGATTTGGAAGGGCAAAGAGACAGAAAACTAAGTAGAATCATGAAGGGAGGTGTCCCACTACGTCACTCTGGCTTTTCCCAGGGAGAAGAATGGCCAGCAATTGGCAGTGTATTCTGAGAATAAAGAAAGCTATGCAAGGATGTCTGTTCTGGGAAAGATCCACTCTACACATGAGGGAGCACTGCTAGGAGGAGGAGGAGCACGGACTGCTGACCATTCTGCACAAGAGGTAGGGGAGGTCAAAACTGCTGAGCATCCCGCTTCCTGTCACCTGGTACCCTGGCACAGAGGCAAGCATGTCCTCTGAGCGCTGTGAGTAGGCAAATTCCAAACTTTATTCCTCTCCCCCACTTTCTAAATTCAAGGAGACCAAAAAAGAAGAAATGGACCTTTAAAATGATCATGCCCAGGATTTTACCCAGTGGAGATATTATTTAGAATATTGAAGATAGTCACGACCAGAAAAATAATCATTTGAAGTATGTTATCCAAGAAAAAAAAAACTTCCTACTTTGGTAGCTTCAAGGAAGATAATTGTATAGTGCTCTGTTTATCAGAAAAAATAAATTAAAAGCAAAATATAAATGATTTGTAATAAATTTGATTAGTAAAATATCCATTGTTTTACTTGCATGATAAATAACATGGGACCAGTGGTTAGTAAGAAAGACAGGCAAAGAAAAGATGAAGACAAAACCAGGGTCAACGCGATTGGGAAGCTCCTCAGCACCAGGGATGAGCTCACGTTATTATTTATTTCCCTGAATGGACATAGTATCAAACAGCCATCAAAGCCATACAACTGACATGCTACCTGCTGTGCCCACAAGGCACCGGAGCCCTCTAAGCTACATTTCTCTGTCCATTGCTTGGCAACTCTCAGATTTTAGCAGAGAGGTTTTCTGTGCAGTGGGCAATGGTTAATGCAGAAATTCACAACCTGCCGAAGTGCTGGAAATGTGTCTTTGGAGTACTCGGCCATGAATGGGACTCAAATCATGTTCTTCCCCATGTGTTAGTAATGGTTCCTGGCTTCTGGAGGAGGGAGATTCAGTTTCCTTAATAATGTGACCTCTGCCAGATCAGACACCGTCCAGTGGACGGTCCACATCCACGAATGTATGGGCAGCACAAATATGGGGTGATGGCTTACAGTTCAAACGAGGTCTAAGAACAACTAAGAAAAAGAACCATGAGTATGAAAGAGACCAAGAATGGTACATGCAAGGGAGAGGAAAGGAGAAATTATATGATTATATTATAATCGCAAAAAATAAAACAAATTTAAAAGGAGGATATGTAGTTCTATGAGGGTTAGGGTTGATGAGTGAGGAGCTGGGCTGAACACGAACAAAATATGTTGTGTGCATATATAAATTTCTCAAATAATTGCTTTAAAAACAAGAGTAAAACAGTATAAGAAGCACAGAGGCTGCAGTGGTGGCTCAGTGATTAAGAGTAGTCCGCTCTGCCAGAGGACTAGAGTTCAATTCCCAGCACCCACACACACTGCAGCTCACAACTGTCTGTAACTCCAGTTCTAGAGAATCTGATACCTTCCTCTGGCAAAACGCTCATAAACATAAAGACAGTGAAATAAAATCGCCCACTATGCTTTACAAATCTTTAAAGAAACACTTAGGACTAACTTCAGAAACACACAAGCACACTAGCACACTCATGTGTGATGTCAACATTTGAGAATGGAGCAACGTATTCATTTTGTAATATTATAAGATGTGATTGGCAAAGACACTGAAATTTGTGTTTGTGTTTTCATATCCATGGACATAATGGCACTGTCTCTTCCTATTGAACACAAACAGTAAATGGAATTAAACCATGGGGAGGAGACCCTGGCTCAAGTTCTGTTCCCTTTTCCTCAGAAGTAATTCATGGTAGTTACATAGAAAGATTGGCACAAGAAGGACTAAATACTTCAAAATTAAGTGGAAAGGAAGGACAAGTATAGTTCAGAAACACAAAGAACAAAAAAGAGTCATAAATTCCAAGGAAACGATCAGTGTCTTTTTTACTAGAATCCTCTACCCCTCACTGAGAACAAACTCTCGTGTGTGTGTGTGTGTGTGTGTATGTGTGTGTGTGTGTGTGTGTGATTTTTATTTAAATTTGAAACAATCTTGTTTTACATATCAATCCGTTCCTCTGCCTCCCCTCCTCCCTTGCCCCCCCCACCAATGCCCATCCCATCCCTATTCTGTTCCCCAGGGAGGGTGAGGCTTTCCATGGGACTTTCAAAGTCTGTCATATCATTTGGAGCAGGGCCCAGCCACTCCCACATGTGTCTAGGCGGAGGGAATATCCCTCTGTGTGGACTGGGCTCCCAAAGTCCATTCCTATACTAGGTATAAATACTGATCCATTACCAGAGGCCCCATAGACTACATAGTCCTCCCAACTAACACTACATTCAGGGAATCTGGGTCAGTCCTATGCTGGTTTCCCAGCTATCAGACTGGAGTCCATGGGTTTCCAGTTTCTATGGGTTTCTACAGCCTAGTCTTGATGCCTTTGCTCATCACCCCTCCCTATCTGCAACTGGATTCCAAGAATTCAGCTCAGTGTTTAGCTGTGGGTGTCTGCTTCTGCTTCCATCAGCTACTAGACTAAGGGTCTAGGGTGACATATAAGGCAGTCATCAATCTCATTATCAAAGAAGGGCATTTAAGGTATCCTCTCAACTATTGCTTAGATTGTTAGTTGGGGTCATTCTTGTAGGTTTCTGGACATTTCCCTAGTGCCAGATTTCTCTTCAAACCTTTAATGGCTCCCTCTATTATGATATCTCTTTTCTTGCTCTCCTATATTCTTTCCCTATCTCAATCTTCCTGTTCCCTCATGCCCACCTCCCCCTCATCTTCCCCCTAACTCCATCTCCCCTCTCCCCATGCTCCCAATTTGCTCAGGAGATCTTGTCCCTTTCCCCTTCTCCAGGTGACCATGTGTGTCTCTTTTAGGGTCCTCCTTGTCTCCTAACTTTTCTGCTGGTGTGGTTTGTAGGCTGGCAATCCTTTGTTCTATGTCTAAAAACCATATATGAGTGAGTACCTACCATGTTTGTCTTTTTGTGACTGGGTTACCTCACTCAGGGTGGTTTCTTCTAGTTCTATCCATTTGCCTGCAAATTTCAAGATTCCATCCCCCCCCCACTAAGTAGTACTCCATTATGTAAATGTAATGTACCACATTTTCTCCATCCATTCTTCAGTTGAGGGGCATTTAGATTGCTTCCAGGTTTTGGATATTACAAATAATGATGCTATGAACACACAGTTGAACAGATGTCCTTGTTTGTATGAATGTGCATCCTTTGGGTATATACCTAAGAGTAGAATTACTGGATCTTGAGGTAGACTGATTATCATTTTCCTGAGGAACCACTATGCTGATTCCCAAAAGTAGCATATGAGTAGAGGAGTGTACCCCTTTCTCCACATCCTCTCCAGTATAAACTGTCACTGGTGTTTTTTGGTTTAGCCATTCTGACAGGAGCAAGATGGTATATCAGGGTTGTTTTGATTTGCATTTCCCTGATGGCTAAGGATGCTGAGCACTTCCTTAAGTGTCTTTCAGCCATTTTAGATTCCTCTATTGAGAATTCTCTATTCAGTTCTGTACTCCAGTTTTTAATTGTATTATTTGGTGTTTTGGTGACTGACTAGCTTCTTGAGTTCTTTGTACATTTTGGAAATCAGGCCTCTGTCAGATTTGGGTTCTCCTTCAGTAGCACCTATGTTAAGGTTGGAACAATCAAGAGAATATTACCAGTGACCCCTGGAAATGGATGACATACAAATCTATGAAGCATTGCACACATTTAATTTCTACTGAAGATACTCGAAGGGCTCATACAAAAAGTAAAAGGATAAACACATTCATGAGTATACAGAAAAGAATCGTGTCAGAGCAGTAGAGACTGTCAAATGAGGGTTAGGGTGTAATAAGACATTACCAAAAAAAACAACAAAATGACAAGATTGTTATACACGTTTCAATAATAATTTTGAATGTAAATATTTACTTATTATTTCCAAATAAAATATTTATTTATTTTCTAAATAAAATACACAGGTTGGCTGACTGGATGGATAAGACCCAACTGTTTCCATCTATCAGTGAGAAACCTCACTAGCAGCAACAAATACAGAATGAAATGAAAGGATGGGAAGGGGGCCTTCTGAGCAAAGAGAAACTGAAAGCACAGGGCGGGATGTCATGCTCGGTGCAGTGTGACCACAACATAATCCCAGGCGTGAGCTGGCTTGTTGGAGCCAACTCCCTATGGCGGGATGCCATGCTCAGTCTTAATACAGGGGAGAGGGGCTGGCCCTGCTCCAACCTATTGTGCCAAGCTCTCTTGACTCCTCATTGGAGCCCTTACCCATGAGGAGGAGTGGACTGGGGGTGGGCTAGAGGGGAGATGAGGAGGGGATGGGAGAAGAGGTGGGAGGGAGAACTGTGGCTGAAATGTAAAATGAAATAAAAAGAATTCAAGCCAAAATTACAGGAAACAAGGTCACCTCATATGGATAATGAAAATACTCCAGCAAGGGATTATAATGTAACACATATATGTACCAAATATTGACACACTAAATTCCATAAAAGACTATTAGACATAGAAAGGAGAGGCAGACCCCCAAAATAATAATAGTTAATACCTCATTCTCAGCAACAGAGACATTATCCATACAAAAAGCACCAGCAAGCAAAGGTCAGCTTTAAATGATGCTATGCACCAAACGGACTTAGCACACATGTACACAGTATTCCACTCAATAACTACATAATACATATTATTCTTAACAACATGTGAAGTGTTTTTTTCTAAATACATAATATTGTAGGGCATAAAGCAAGTCTTAAAAATGCAAAAAAATAATTTATATAGTTTATTGTATTTTATCAGATCATATTGTAATGAAACAGAATTCAACACAAAAAAGTGCAGAAAAACATGGAAATTTAAAGTACACTTTTGAATAATTAATTCGTTATTAAAGAAACTAGGGGACAAGCACATTTAAAATTTCATAGACTCAAATGAAAATTAGATAAACTAACCCAAGGGAAAGATGATCCAAATCAATAAATTCAAATAAAAAAAAAGAAAAGATGTTAAAACAAATACCAATAAGGTCCAAAAAATCACTGCCGAATATTTTTGAAAACTTGTATTTCAGAAAACTGAAAAACCTAGGGGGTGGAAGAAAAAATAGCTACATTCCTGGACATTAATGTCAATCAAAATGGATTCAAGAAGACATTAATCTAAACAAATCAATAATGAGCAATGATGTTAAACTAATAATAAAAAGCCTTTTCCCTTCTGAGTTCTACCAGCTCTTTGAAGAGCTAATATCAACAGTTTTTCCCTCACACTGTCCCATAGAGCAGAAAGTGAAGGAACTCATTTACAAAATGAGCATTACCCTGACAGTAGAACCAGATAATACAACAATAGAAGCTATAGGTCAATTTCTAGATAAACATAGGTCTAAAAATTCTCAACGGAAAACTTACAAACTGAATTCAAAACACATTGAAAGGGCCAGACACAATGGCCAAGTTGGTTTCTTCCAAGGGTATTCTGAACAAAGAGAAAGTGAAAGCTTGACAAAGAAGATTCGAGCCAAAATTATAGGAAACAAGGTCGTCTTATATGGATAATGAAAGTCAAAATTCATAATGCGGTATGTAAATAAAATCAGGGTCAAAACTACATAATCATCTAAATAAATACAGTAAAACTCTGACAGAACTTGGAGTCCCTGTGATAAAAGCCCTAAATAAACGGGAATAGACCAAGCATGAGAAAGGCTATATAATAGACAAATGTCCAATTTTATATTAATTTAGGAAAATCTGAGAGCATTTCTTCCAAAATCAGATGTGAAAGCACTCTTTACTTTTACTCAATGCAGAGCTTAATATACTAGCCAAAACAATAGAGAAAAGAAAGAACTGGAATATGAATAGCAAAGGAAAAGTCAAGTTACTCATATTTCTATATTTCCATACACTCTCATAAATACTTACTCTACCAGGGACCTTTAGGTCTGTTAAGAACTTTCAGCAAAGTAGCAGAACACAAATTAAAAAAGAAAAAGAACAAAAACAAAACCTCACAACTATAATGAATATAGGATTAAAAGTATACAGCAAAGAGAAGAAATAAAAAAAAAAAATAATGAAGATACTGAGAAAAATAATGAACATACTCAGAGAGAAACCAGGAATACAAAAATGAATAAAGAAGATCAGAAGATGGCAGATTACACCCACCAAATTCTAGAATGTTTGGAAACAAATCAGAGATAGCTGAAGAGCAGCTGTCCTGTGAGGTGAGAAAAGGTGGGAAAAGTCAGCTTCAGCCTCAAAAAGGAAACACTAGAAAAGAGAGCAGAGGGGGTGGAGCCTGTTCCGGGAGGCTCAGCCCGGCAGAGTGTCCTCTGAGAGCAGGGGTAGCACGTGCAGAGAGACTTCAGTACCAGATTATCTAAAGGAGGGAGACAGAGACAGAGCTGCACAGAGAGAGATGGTGAAACAGAGAAGTCACAGATGCTGTAACAGAAGACAGGGTAGAGGACTGTACGAGAGGAATTTCAAAGTCCAACCAATATCAGACATATCACTGAGAAGATCTGCAGTCCAACCAGATAGGAATCTTGGTGCATAACCATTTAGGTGCCAGGAAAAAAAATCCTTTCTTCTCAGTGTGGGCTGGAGCAGTGGCCAGGATCCATTTTTTTTTTCAAGACCTTTGCTAAGTCTGTGGCCTTATTCTAAAGCAACTTCCCCACATACTCCAGTCTGGAGATCCAAGGCAAGTGCCAAAGGACTATACCCTGAGACCATGTCTGCAGAATATCCCAAGCTAGAGAGGAGACTTTGAGTCAGAACCACAGTGTTCTGTATGGTTGAAACCTGTTCTGAACTATAAACTGATTCACTAGGTCCAAAAAAAGATGAAAAAGCAATGTGATATCTTAAAAGGGCTAAAGTCTAAGTTACAGCACATGAAAGCAGGTTGACAGGTGTACCAGTTGGCACCTAGAGACAGAAAACTTAGCCCATAAACCACACCCCTAGCTGTAGAGCAAACAACATGAATACTAGCACAGGAAGCAAATCCCCACAAGGTCCTACTCTCATCAGAAGACACCACCCAAATAGCCAAAGAAGAAAAGCAAGGCATAGAAGCAGACTGCACCTGAAGGCATAGAAGACATGCACTTCTTCCAATAAATCCACCCGGCTGTGCTGTGGAATAATGCCATTGTACACTGGGAAGATTTGCCACTCAGACTGGTTTAATAAAGGGCTAAATGGCCAACAGCTAGCAGGTAGAGGTTAGATGGAACTTGCAGGCAAAAAGGAGCACAGAGAAGGAGAAAGGCATAGTTGCCAGCCAGAGACAGATGGAACAGGAGACCAGCATGCCATGTTAAATGCTAAAAAAGTTTTTGATAAAGCCCAGCACCCCATCATGATAAAGGTCTTGAAGAGATCAGGGATAACAGGAACATACCTAAACATAATAAAAGCAATATACAGCAAACCAACAGCCAACATCAAACTAAATGAAGAGAAACTCAACTTGATTCCTCTAAAAAAAGGCTGTCCACTCTCTCCATATCTCTTCAATATTGTACTTGAAGGTCTAGCCAGAGCAATAAGACAACAAAAGGAGATCAAGGGGATACAAATGGAAAGGAAGAAGTCAAACTTTCACTATTTGCAGACGATAGGATAGTTTACATAAGTGACCTGAAAAAGCCTATTGGGAACTCCTTCAGCTGATAAACACCTTCAGCAGAGTGGCAGGATACAAGATTAACTCAAAAAAAAAAAAAAAAAAAAAAGTAGCCCTACTATATAGAGACGATAAAGAGGCTAAGAAAGAAATCAGAGAAACATTACCTTTTACAATAGCCACAAACAACATAAAATATCCTGGGGTAAGGCTAACTAAACAAGTGAAAGACCTATATAGCAAGAACTTTGAGTCTTTAAAGAAAGAAATTAAAGAGATACAAGTAAATGGAAAGATCTCTCCTGCTCTTGGATAGGTACAATCAACATAGTAAAAATGGTAATCTTGCCAAAAGCAACCTACAGATTCAATGCAATCCCCATCATAATATGAACACAATTCTTCACCAACCTTGAAAGAGTAATACTACACTTTATATGGAAAAATAAAAGAACAAGGATAGCCAAAACAACCCTAAACAATAAAGGAACTTCCAGAGGCATCACCATCGATGACTTCAAGCTCTATTATAGAGCTATGGTCCTGAAAACAGATTGGTGTTGGCACAAAGATAGACAGGAAGACTAATGGGATCAAATTGAAAATCCAGGTATTAACCACACACTTGTGAACACTTTATTTTTGACAAAGAAGCTATAATTATACAATGAAAAAAGACAGCATCTTCAACAAATGGTGCTGGCATAACTGGATGCTGCTGTGTAAAGGATGCAGATAGATCCATATCTATCACCATGCACAAAACTTAAGTCCAAATGGATCAAAGGCCTCAACATAAATCCAGCCACACTGAACCTCTTAAAAGAGGAAGTGGGAGGTACCCTTTTATGAAGAAGACCACTTTCCTGAACATAACACCAGTGGCGCAGACACTGAGCTCAACAGTTAATAGATGAGACCTGAAATTGAAAAGCTTTTGTAAAGGAAAGGACACAGACGACAAGACAAAACGGCAGCCCACAGAATGGGAAAAGATAATCACCAATCCCAAATCTGACAGAGGCCTGATTTCCAAAATGTACAAAGAACTCAAGAAGCTAGT